AAAACCCCAAAGGGCTCAACTAAATAAAACGGAGGACAAGATAAGGAATTCAATTTTTTTAGCAGGTTTGGATTTTCTACATGTCACCAGTACACACACAAGGTGGTAAATTTTACTAAATAGTAAATTCCCTTTTTCCGAAAATTATTACATGTCACCAGTACACACACAAGTTATATAGCGACGCAAAGGACAGTAAAGTACACCACAATTAGCTTTCGTTCTACGGGCGCAAAACCTCTTATCGCACCAAAACCCTCAACCACAGCTGGAGCACAAGGGACGCTTATCAGCCCCTTAGGAAAAAGTGGGCGGCACTGCGGACTCATTAGCTTGTGAGAAGTTCTGACAAAAGAGGGTTCAGGGGGCGTAATCAGGGCTGCATATGACCAGAAATATAGCTAGATTCAGATGATTCTTGACTACATTCATAAGCAGTGTGCACTGCATTCTTACGAAGACCGTAGACATACCCCCGTGGGTCGCTCAAGATCTATCTATTAACCTCTGAAGGTACGAACTACTCTCCATGTGTCTTTTGGAAAGTATGGGCACTCTGCACACTGCATTGTTTTCACGCATATGAGAGGAACTTACACAAGGAGGGAAAGTGAAGGTGTACATACAAAAACACATCCAGAAAAAAAAAAAAGAAAAAAAAAAAAAAAAAACGACGAAGAAAAGGTGGTGGTGTAAGTAGCATCAGGAGCTTTCACACTCCTCAACTCCTCATTTAACGTTAAGGGAAGTCGAGTTCACACTATTGTTATGAACTTGGTTGTCTGACGATTTTTACCGCCACTCACACACAGACAGTCTCATACACGCCCATACATGCATAAGAGAAGGGGGAGAGGAGACAGAGTCCACACTGCACACAGATCAGAGTAGGCAGCCAAAGTTCAACCATGCACAGATGGGGAGAAGACACTCAGTGTTTCTCACTCTCTGACAGACTCCCAACAACCAATCACAAGAAGAACCTGCGAGGATAACAATTGGAATACACACTGATGAAGAGCCAATTAAATCAGATATCGTTACAGAGTTTGTCCAGTATCTCGCCACACTCGGAACCCCACACTCCACTCTCTCTCCTACACCCAGTTAGTAGCGCACAACTGAAACAGCCTCCCAGAGGCCAGCGCCAACCACCCAGATGAAGAACAGATCTGGCGATGAAGTCTTCAGTGCCGATGAACAACTCTGACGAAGAAACCGGCAGCTATGGCTGCCGCCACCCACAAACACTCAGTGAGGAGCCTCGATATAGCCTGGCCAGACGCACATACCCTCAGGGGTAGATGCGCTGAGGATGCCCCAGCTCCGGCAACCTTCAGAAGGCCGGCTATGGCTGCCGTCCACAGCAAGAGTCTCAGGATGCCGCCTGTAGACAATTGCCACCGCCAACTTGCTTGGCTTCTCCAAACGCTGCGTCGCGAAAATGAACAGCCAAAAGTCCTAAACAGTCCTACCCGAACCTGCTTGTAGATTCTACACTATCCTAGCCTAGGGCCTACCGGTACCGTTTCAGTTAGGGCCTACTCGGCATCTACGGAATCAGTCCTACCGCTGCACTTAGGGCTCAAGACCACTTAGGGCCGGTAACTACTCATCCCCTACTACTGTTAATTCAGGCTATTTTTAGAACAGAGGGCGGCCCTTAGTGCGAACAAAAAAAACACAGCAAAGCACACAGCAAACACCGCAGTACACTGTACAGCCTCGCAGTCAGTCTCCGCAGTTGAAATCAGCAAGTCGTTGCACTATTCAGTTGAAGTTAACCGCCAGTACATTGTCCAGGCAAACTTGAGAATCGAAATCGACCCAATGCATAAATTACAGAGGCTCAGGGCCTCCGCACCATAATCGCTGGCATCACTACCGTCTTCCCCCGAACACAAGACATATGCGTTGTAAACGAATACAACACATACTGTGCATTATATTCGTTTAAAACGCATATGTGTTATGTTCGAGTGAACGAGACCAACTTTGCCTGCACAAGCGAGTCGGGTCCAGGCTGAGTACGCTCAGTTCTGGACCACGCCTGGGAGCCTCGGAGCCTTGGCAAAAAGGTAAAAGTAAAGTAGCGACGTACCTTTCCATGTTCTGAGTTGAGTTTCATTCCTTTCCCCTACTTGGGCCCTTGCTCCACTCCTCAGCAAACGTGCAACATGCGAATGAATCTTCCACTAGAACGCAGAAAAATACAACCCCTTTCTTTTTTGTCTCGGTGACCACGGTAGTTGTTGCATACCGTATAGGTGCAGACCAGAACAAGAACCGACCTTTCAATACAAGGTATAAGATAGCACAGCGGAAGACTTAGATACCAATGATCCGAACAATCAATATTGTAATGCAGCCCCGAACATACATCATCATCATCATGGTGCGAAGGGGTCTGGCGCTTCACACAAGAAGACTGCGCCAGCCCCAACCATACACAGACGAAGGAGGTGGGGTTAGACGAAGAAGAAGGGAAGATG